TGGTGCTGGGGGATTGAACCGCAGTCCCTGTGCTTTGCTAAGCTTGTTCTAAGTAGGTGCTTTAGACCACTGAGCCATCTCACCAGCCCCGCTTCTGAATTTCTGAATTAGAATTCATGTTACTAAAATGAAGGAAGCTGAGGCAGGAGGATCATTGTGAGTTCAAGACTAGCCTGGGCTACAAAGTGAATTAAAGGCCAGCCTAAGGGCTGGGGAGATGGCTCAGTGAAATAAGCGCTTCCCTGGCAAGCGGAAGGGCCTGAGTTCAATCCCTGGTTCTGCCAAAAAATAAAAAATAAATAAAGGCCAGCCTAAACTGTATAGTGAGACACTGCCTGAAAGAAAGAAAGAGGGAGAGAGGAAAGAAAGGTTTAGACACAATATCATGTCTACATCTTATCGTCTGAATAACTACTAAATAACTACTATGAAGACAACAATATGCAATGTATTAATTATTGTAACTGTCCTAACCTATCTTGAAACTTCCATTGCTATTTTTTTCTCATTAAAATGAATAAAAAAATTTTAAATAAAGGAAAGAAAGGCCAGACAGATAGCTCAGTGGACTAAAGTGCCTGCTTAGGCAGGCACAGCAACTGGGGTTCGATCCCCCGTGTGCTATGCCTGACCTGCCCCCAGGGCCGCTGAGATGGCATTTGAGACTGGGTGTGGTGGTACGCGCCTGTAATCCCAGCGCTTGGGAGGCTGAAAACAGAAGGATCACTATGAGTCCGATCTATGTAGTGAGATCCTGTAACCCTGTACTAAATACATTTTAAAAAGAAAGAAAGAAAGAAAGAAAGAAAGAAAGAAAGAAAGAAAGAAAGAAAGAAAATTGAGTAGAACGAAAATTGGGCAATAAACAGACGTAATTGAAGAAAAATAGAAAACCAGGGAGACAGGAACTGGGGGTGCAGCTCAGGGCAGTTCTTGCTTGCCTGTTGCGCATGAGGCCACAGGCTCTACCTGCAGCACTATCATCCTTGTGGTTACTGGGAGTACTTTGCTCTGAGAGAGTGGCTGGGGCCCGGGGCCAGCAGGATGAGACCATGGTGGGGTTCGGCTGGAGGAAGCTGTGAGGGCTCTAACCAAGCCTGTGGTTTCCCTGTAGCTGATTAGTGGCGAGTACATCGGAGCCCTGGCCATGAGCGAGCCCAATGCTGGCTCTGATGTTGTCTCTATGAAGCTGAAAGCAGAAAAGAAAGGTAAGGCCACTCAGCTGGGGAGCTGAAAGGGACAGAGGAACAAACCTGAGCAGAATGAGGGAGCGATGCAGTGGTCCCTGCTGGGTCTTCAGTGTACTTCTCACCTTGGCAGCTTCTCCCTCATAGGAAGCTCTGAGAAACCACTAGCTCGGACATGCCAAGCTGGCTTGAGCAAGGAGCCAATGTTTTGCCCTTAGGAGATCACTATGTCCTGAATGGCAACAAATTCTGGATCACCAACGGCCCCGATGCCGATGTCCTCGTTGTCTATGCCAAGACAGACCTGACTGCTGTGCCAGCTTCCCGGGGCATCACGGCCTTCCTTGTGGAGAAGGTGAGGATGGGGGGTGTGAGGTCGAGGAGGCTTCTCTGTCCAGGCAATGAGACCAGAGGTAGCGCCTCTCGGCTGATCAATGTTGTGTGTTCTGCTCTGGTGGCATGGGGGAAGTGCAGGGGACTCCTAAGGAGACTGAGAGGAGGGTGGCTGAAGTCAGGTCCAAGGAAGATGGGTCATGTCTGACAATGGCATGCAAAGAGGTCCAGAAAGAGAACTAAAAGGAGCCACTGGATGTGAGAAGACATCTTTAGTGAGCTGGGTGAGAGGGAAGACAGTCTTGACAGCAAATGCAAGAGAAAGGTAGAGCAGGAGTCAGAACCAAAACTTGGGAGTTTGGGCTTATTTTTCAAGGAATTCAAGGGCTGAGCTACTCCAGGGCTGAGCTACAAGCCAGCCCCCTGGCAAGCACAGGGGTCTGAGTTCAATCCCCGGTTCCACCAGAATAAATAAATAGATAAATAGTAGAGGGAAAACAGCTGACCAGGATAGACCCAAAAGGGTCCTGGCTGTGACTAGAAACCTCCAAGTGGTGCTGTGACACCAGCCACCCTTGCCAGCCCAGAGCCCATCACCAGCACTCTGTGGGGCACCTGCCAGCACACAAAGCGTTCAAGTGGCCAAATTCATCCCAGTCAGAATTCCACTAGGGACAGGTGGCAAAAAAAAACAAGAAAGAGGTCAGAGGAAATGAATGTCCTGGGACTAAGGGTCCCTGGGGGAGGGAAACAAAGTCGGGCAGTCCTGGGAATTTCAGTGCTCCCATCCATGAGAACTCCAGGGAAGGCAAACCAGCAGCAGAGGAGGTGGAGCGCTGGGGCTGGAGCAGGCCCATCCAGTGTAGGTGCCAAGCAGGTGTGGGGACCTGATGGAAAGGGGCCTTCCCTTTATGGGGCCCTTGCGAAAGCCTAGCCAGGGGCTCCTTTTGTTTCCTGTGAAGGGAATGCCGGGCTTCAGCACCTCCAAGAAACTAGACAAGCTGGGAATGAGGGGCTCTAACACCTGTGAGCTGATCTTTGAAGACTGCAAAGTTCCAGGTAAGCATCTCCCTCCTCAGTCTTGGCCCCTTCACAAGCTAATCCGTTTGCTTTCAGGTTGAGAGAAAGCCCCTCTCCCAGGGCTAGGGAGTTAGCTCAGTAGAATAAGCACTTGCCTGGCAAGTACAAGGGCCTGAGTTCCATCCTCGGTTCCGCAAAAAAAAAAAAAAAAAAAAAAAAAAAAAAAAAAAAAAAAAAAAAAAAAAAAAAAAAAAAAGAAAGAAAAGAGAAAAGAAAGCCTCTCTCCTTTCAACCACTGTGGCTACACTGTGGGCCTGGTAGCGCACTAGGAGAAGGCTGCAGCCTGCCTGCTGGGCCAGGGTGTTTTCTCTGGATAGTGTACTGCTTAGGGTTTGTATTCTAGCAGCTGGGGCAAAAGGTCCGAGCTACCCCTGGCCACTTGTGTCCTTCAGATTTCCTGTACCTTCACCTGTGCAGCCTGCATGTTACTCATTAATGATGCTAACAACCATCTGAGTTAGCTCAGGGAAGGAGAAACAGTGTGATTGCAGTAGGATTGTGTGCTCCTATGAACTCTAGCGGGAAATGTGACCACCGTAGCACCGTGGGGTAGCCAGCACACCCAGATCACAGTTTCGGTTGCCAAGAAGGGTTGCTTGGGCCTCAGCCCCAGATCAGCCCCACCCCCCACAACCTGCCATCCCAAAAAGTGTGCTGTAAGGTAGGAGTGTCTGCAGAGGGGACCTGTGCAGACTTCTGTGTGGAAAGGACCAAAGTCAGCCAGCATGAAAGGCAGGTCAGTGATGTCAAGTCTCTGTACTCCGCTTCCTGCCCACACCTCCCAAGGCCGCCCATTGTCCTAGCTTCCTAGCAGGACGGGTGCTTCCTTGGCAGCTTCGGTGACTGGCACTGAATGACCCAGCTGCTGGACAAAGCGGCTTTCACGGGCCACCCTATGGGGAGGTGACCCTGGACCAAAGCAGACAACTAGAAGAGAGCACTTCTACGGCTCCTGTGTGAGTCCGGGTGTAGAAAGAACCCCAGAGGGTGGAGGAACTTCTAGACCAATAGCCTTTCTACTTCCATCCAAGGGAGTCCAGGAAGAGCAGGAAAAGATCTAACAACTTAGAGCTTTGTATCTCATGTTAAGGACGGTGTGGGGTCCTAGAAACTCCACTTCAGCCTGAAAATGATAAAATGGATCTTTTTGTCACCTGGAACCCTAGAGGAAGGTCAAGTAGCACTTCATTGCCTTAGGTGAGAGCATGTTATCAACACCACCACCCCCTTTTTCGATACAGGGAATTGAACCTAGGGCCTTCATAGTTATCTAAGTCCCTAGTCCTTTTTGCTTTTATTTCCAGATAGGGCCTTTCTAAGTCGCTAAGTTGCCCAGGCTGGGCTTCAGCTTCTAATCCTCTTGCCTCAGCCTCCCAGAGTGCTGGGATTACAGGTGTCCATCACCATACTCAGCTAAACCTACTACCGTTGTAAAAAGTGAAGAGATAACAGGATGTGATGGTGCACACTTGAAATTACAGCACTCTGGGAGGCTAAGGGCAGGAGGGTAGCAAGTTTGAGCCCAGCCTTGGCAATTTAGCAATTTAGTGAGACCTTGTTTTAAAATAAAATTTAAGCTGGGTGTACCCGTTAATCCTAGCACTTGGGAGGCTTACGCAGAAGGATCACTGCTAGTTCAAGACCAACCTGGGCTACATAGTGAGCTGAACTGTGTAAGCCAGCCTGAACTACATATCGAGACCCTGCCTCAAAAAACAACCAAAAAAATTTTTTTTAATTTAAAAAGAAGGGATAAAAATGGTCTCTGGGACAAAATGCCAAACACAACTTGGAGGAGGAGGAGTTTATTTTTATTCAGCTTTTCAATTTATGGTCAGCAGGCTCCAAGGAAAAAGGGGATGGTAGAAGGGCCTGGTGGACAATAGCTGCTCCACCCTTAACGGCCAAGAAGGAGAAAGTGGAGAAAGGAGCCAGGGAGAGAGATCTCTTCAGATCGTGGCCCAGTGACCCCCCCCCTCCCTGCCAGACCCCTGGCCCTGTACTCCTTGGTAGACCAATTTCCTGATGGCATAGGGCACCTTCCAGAGCCCCACCTCTGAACATGTGAGCTTTTGGGGGACGGTCTAGATCTAAAGCAGAACAGGGACATAGCTGTGGTTCAAGGCCCTTGGTTCAATCCCCAGGACTGCAAAAATAGCAAAAACAGAGAAGTGGCTGCATGCCACCCTCTCTGACCAGCATTCACCCCGGCAGCTGCCAACATCCTGGGCCAGGAGAGTAAGGGCGTCTACGTGCTGATGAGTGGGCTGGACCTGGAGCGCCTGGTGCTGGCAGGTGGGCCTCTTGGGTAAGTGTGAGGCTGGGGTGGACAGAGGAGTAGCTGGGTGCCCAGGGTAAGAACGGGAACTGGGGTCCTTCCGCCTCCTTGGCAAAGGCGGGGGCGTTGATAGCAGCAGCAACCTTCCTTAGGGGGCCCAAGGGCGCCACCTCCTGGTTTTGACTCTTGGAGATAAATTCCTGTTCCTACCTTGAATTTCTTCACACACAAGGGAAATGCCATCATGCAACACAGAGCCGCAGTTCTGCTTGAGGTGGATGTGAAAGGCGAGGTGAGGTGCTGGCCAGGTCCCAACCGTGGGGACTTGTGGAGAGATAAGTTGCCATCTGTGGCCTTGAGAAATGCCCAGTGTGGGTAGCCCTGCTACGCCAGTGCAGGGCAGCAGGAGTTTCTCAGGCTCCCTGCCCCCTCCATTTCCTTATCATGCAGAGCTCTTTTCCCAGGCCTTTGCCTGGCATGCTGCCACCCCACCTGGCACCAGTGGGACAGTGACACATCTCCACAGTGTTCTTCTTTCTGGCAGGCTGATGCAAGCTGTCCTGGATTACACCATTCCTTACCTGCACACGAGGGAAGCCTTTGGCCAGAAGATCGGACACTTCCAGGCAAGTGGACTACTTTGTGGGGTGGAAGTCCTCTTTCCTCCACTTAGAGTTTTGTCTCGTGGGTGGGGAAGCGGGCTGTGCTGTGGGCACTGACCACCCTTGTGTAGCACACAGCGAGCTTGAATGCTGAAAGCACTGGCTGCTTACACTCACAGCCTGGCCTTGGATGTTTTTAGGCTGTGCATCGCCTTGCCCCATCACTTCTATTTGAGGTGCTCAGACTAGACATGGGGAGGCTGGAGGTGACATGTGCCACTTGGGGGGCAGGGCTTGGGAGAACAGCAGTGGCATTTCTAGCATGACCCTGTTGATCTGAAGAAGCTGCAGGAATTTTGTGCCAGGAGAGGCAGATACACAGCACCTTTCAGATGGATGTAGTGAGGGCTGCTCCAGGGTATAGAGAGGGCTGCTCCAGGTTGCAGCGTCCCCCGGGGAGCAGCCACTCTTTGGCTTCCCTCCCAGCTCTGCTCCCATTTCTGCTATCTTGGGCAGGCCCCTCTTCTCTGAGTTCTGCTTCCCATCCTGAGCTGCCAGATTGCCACTGCTGCTGGCCTGGCTCCTGGCAGCCAGGAGGAACAGCCCAGCCTATTGACTTTGCCTTCTCTCTGTGTCCAGCTGATGCAGGGAAAGATGGCTGACATGTATACTCGCCTCATGGCGAGTCGGCAATACATCTACAACGTAGCCAGGGCCTGCGACGAGGGCCACTGCATCCCCAAGGTGAGGGCCAGCCTGGAGGGTGGTGGCTGGTACTGCGCCCCATGCCTACCAGGAACCTGCTGATCCAGCCTCCTCCCCAGGACTGCGCCGGGGTGATTCTCTATTCAGCTGAGTGCGCCACACAAGTGGCCCTGGATGGCATCCAATGCTTTGGTGAGTGCCCCACAGCCTCCTTCTGGGGCTCCCTCTGTGCCTGCGCCACCTCAGCCACAGCCTCTCCATCCACCAGTTAGGAGGAAATGGAAAAGTACATGGCAAAACTTCTAGGGGCCACAAGCTGCTACTGCTTTAAAAAAAAAAAAAAGTTATATTTAAGATACATAATAATTACATTCATCTTGGGGTGCTGGGCGTGGTGGTACACCCCTATAATCCCAGCACTTGGGAGGCTGAGGCAGGAGGCTCACTAGAGTTCGAGATCAGCCTGAGCTGCAAAGTGAACTCAAAGCCAGCCTGAGCTGCATAGGGAGCCCCTGTCTCAAAAAGACAACAAGACCATTGATCTCGGGAAGCTGGTACATATACATATTGAATCTTGATGATTTTATTGCCCCTGTCTTCCTTCTCTCCCTCATTGTGCAGGTCTCCTTCCCATCTCCAGTCTGTCTCCATTTCCTCCCATCTTTTTTGTTTTGCTCTTTAAATTACTCATATTAGAGAGATCATGTGATATTTCACCTGCATCTGATTTATTCCACTTAGTTTTATGGCTGAAAGGCCCATCCATTTTCCTATGTGTGACTCAAAATCACCCTTCTTTATGGCTGAGTAGCACTCAGTACTGCATATGTCCTACATTTGCTTTATCCATTCACCTGCAGACGGGCACACAAGCCACTTCCACAACTGGGCTCTTGTGGATTGTGCTACTATAAGCTGTGTCCCCCTCATCCTCCCTCCTGGCTTCATGGGGACATGGGGAAAGATTTTCCAGGTGGAACTACCTTGCTTCCTTGCTGCTGAGTGGCTAAGGGTCCAGCCCGGAGCCCTGCAGCTCAAGTCTGATTCGTAATTCTGTTAGGCCAGTCTTCTCGTCCTGCTTTTCTGTGTCTCTGTTGGTTCACCTCTTTCTTCGCCTGGTGTCCTTGACACTCCTGGTGACCGTCTAGCCTCAGCTTCAGCCCCACCTGACCCCCAGCATGGTATTCTCCAAGCCCATATATATCCTTCCTTTGTCATTATTCCCTAAATAGTACAATTTTTTTTTTTTTTTTTTGCCAAACCAGGGATTGAACTCAGGCCCTTGCGCTTGCCAGGGAAGCGCGTATTCCACTGAGCCATCTCCCTGGCCCTAGTACAAATATTTAAATACATAGCCTAGAGATGATTAAGTTTCTGGGCACGTGTGTGTAGGTGACGTGCAGATACAATGCCATTTTATATAAGGAACTTGAGCATGCGTGATTCTGGGGTTCACAGGGCTCTTGGAACCAGGCTCTGCAGGCACAGGGAAGGCTGGCGACACCTTTGGTTTGCTCTTGCCCATCACTCGTGTTGTCTTTTCTTCTCTGCCCATCTCTGGCTGCAGGTGGCAATGGCTACATCAATGACTTTCCCATGGGCCGCTTTCTTCGAGATGCCAAGTTATATGAGATTGGGGCTGGAACCAGCGAAGTGAGGCGGCTGGTCATCGGCAGAGCCTTCAATGCAGATTTCCATTAGCCCTGTGTTGTGGTCAGTGTTTACAAGGAAGACAATTTAATACAGGACACAATTTGTAGGATTATTTTATAACAGTCACCCAAAGAGTCACGTACAAAGGAGTGGAGGAAATCTGTCCCCACACTAATGACCCAAGGAATCCAGCTGAGGGCCTGGATCCCATGGCAGTGTGCTGCATGAGTCCCGCTGGAGACCTAGAGCCCATGGCAGTGTCTCATGCAGGCCTGTTTCAAGGATCTGCACTGGGAAGGCAGAAGGTCAACGGTAGAAGCTAGAAAGTCTGTGCCAGCAGGATGAAGGATCTGTGTCAGCAGGCTGAGGAATCTGCACTGGAGCTAGGAAGCGATACTCAAAGTAAGGACCAGAGCTCCCCAAGAGAACCTCAGCCATCCTCAGCAACACTGAGGTCCTGAGCTCCTCCAACAATGAGAACAGGCGAGTTCATATCAGGAAAACCAGCATAACAAGCTTCTCCAGGAGAACCAACAGGTCTTCTTCCTCGTCCTCTTCCTCTTCCTCTGCTCCTTCTCCATCTCCCTCTTCTCCCCTTTCCTTTCCCTACCTTTTTTCCTTCTTCTCCTTTTTATTTTGTTAGTGACAGTCCTAAGGTAAGCCTTCCACATCCAGCACCACACTGGATCAGTTCAGCTGGGTGTTACGAGTTGACCATCAGTTGTCAGTCCACCACACTGTGAGACTGTGTGCCCCTTGTCCCAGCACCTAGAGGTCTGTCTTCAGGAGCAAACATGGCAATCCCTTGCATGCCCAAAGCAGGCCTTGCAGCCCTTCTCCAGCACAGTGACTTCTGCAGGAGGCTGAGCTCTCCACACTGGCTGTCGACACTGAGGCCTCCTGGCTGGGAAGCCAAACAGGAATACTTTGAACAGATTCCATCAGAGATCATGTATTTGCCTGCAGATTTTAGAGGGCTCTGTTGACCATGCCCTAGCTCTGTAACCTCGGTGCCTGATGCTTCCCCCTTCGGGGGTGGCATCTACCCCTTTCTCTTGTAGGAGGACCTCTGGCAGGGAGCCCTGCCTGCTCAAGTGCAGCCCAAATCCTCACCCTGTCTGCCAGTTTCTTGAGGCATCTGCTCCCAGCAGCTTGAGACACCCACACCAGCATGTGTGGTGGGGCAGAGGGTGACATGCTTGCATGGAGAGGCAGTGCCTTGGAGCCTCCTGTACCACGCTAATGAGTCCTGGCCAGGGAACCTCCTGCAGCTGACTGGGAAGCAGGTGCAGGCCCTGGCCGTGCAGGCCTTGCTGGCCTCGCTGGCTCGGCTCCCACTGAGGCTGCCTGTGTCTATTTCTCTAGCTGCCCTGTGGTTAACTGTTACGGCTACACCCATGGCTGCTGCTACTTTGTATTAAACATATTGTGAAGCAACCCCCATCTGCTCTTGGACCCATGTTTGGAGAAGAAATGATCTACTTGCTCCGACTCCTGTCCTGACCAGGTCTTGGAGAATGGTTGGGCCAGGTGCTACTTGTTCGCTCTTCAGTCATGGGGCACGAGGGTAAAATCAGTCCTGGGGTACAGGAAGTCTCAGCCCCAGATCTCCAATTTGCTTTTTATTTTTTGAACTAAGGATTGAACCAAGGGAGAACTGAGCTATATCCCTATGCCTTTTTATTTTGAGACAGGATTTTGCTAAGTTTCCCAGTCTGACCTTGAATTTGTGATCCTTCTGCCTCAGCCTTCTGAGTAGTTGGGACCATAGTCAAGTTAAGACGAGCCGGGCATAGTGGCACATGCCTGTCGAACAGTACTCTAGGAGGATGAAGCAGGAAAAGTACCGGTCCAAGCCCAATCAGGGCAACCAGAACTTACTAAGACCCTGTTACTAAAAATAAAAACGGGTTGGCAATCCAGCTCAGTGCTCAGTACCCAGTACAACAACAAAAACAAAAAAGGTAATTTGCGTCTCAGAGTCTGAACTAAAGTCAGGATCTGGATATGCTAGAGGCAAAAATGGAAGTGTTCTGAGCATTCAGCCAGGGTTCCAGTGCACAGCATGTTGGACCCATGTTGTCTGAGAGGACTGGGTCTGGGTTGTTGGACCCCTAGGTTCCCAAGCTTGGGTCCCAGCCCAGTGGCACTTGTTCTGCTTTTAGTCCTGGGCTACAGCCAAATGCTGATTGAAGCCCAGCTTTGTGATGGAGGGTCAGCTCCTCATCAAACCCCAGTGCTGTCCCACCTTGAAGGGAAGCTTGGAGCTCTTGGCTATCCCCAAGTGCCCCCACCACACCCCACACTATGTTTGAATGCAGCTAAAATGGTGATCATCTCAAACATGCAGTTGGAACAAGCATGCACAAACACTCAACATGTGCTAGAATGCAAGGTGTGGTCCAGTCAGCGTTGCTGAGGTCTTGCCAGTTTGGGGTGCGCCCCTCAGAAGTGCGTGTGCGCAGCTTTAATCCTGAGGCATGTGTGACTGGTGTTTGGAGGAGGGGTCCCAGTGGCATGAGTGGCTGTGGGGATGTAATCTCCCACTTGCTATGTCCTACAAGGCCTCCAGTTGGTGCAGGAGGGACCTCAGCAGACACCGTGCCTGCTTTTGGGTTCCCAGTCTTCCAAACCAAGAGCTGAAGGGCCAGGGATGTAGCTCAGCTACACAGCGCCTGCATGGCAAGCAGAAGGTCATGAGTTCCATTCTCAGTACCAAAAAAGAAAAAAACAAGAACTGAAAACGTCTCCAAGCTACCAGTCTGTGATACTCAGTTACAGCAACAGATAAAGAGGAAGAAAGTGGTTGTTCTGATCCTTTATGTGAAGCACAACAGGAATGTTCAAAAATAAAATCAAAACACCATGAGCCTTGCAGCCGAGTCTCTTTTCTAGCAGTGGTGTGAGCGCTCCAGCACTGCACCGCGAACTCTTCCTTACCGCGCTGTCCCTGCTTCCACGCAGGTTCCCCGATGGCCACACTGCCTGCCCTGGGGCTGACAGCCAGCCAGCAGCATGTTGAAGTTGGCAGGCCCCGAGTCACAATTCGGCAACCTGTATATGAAGTCGCCTAGATCCCAGCCCCAGACCTAATCTCTACAGACGGTGACACTGGAACTTCTCAAGTAACCCTGGGTCCCCAGGGGCCTCCGTTTCAATTCTCACACACTGTGTGATAGCAATTCATTTATCTACGCACCCATCTCAAATTTTCTTTTACACCTTAGCTGCTGGTTCTCTGCGACCACTGGGTACAGGAAGCAAGTTTTTGTATGGGCTCTTTTTTTTTTTTTTTGCGGGGGGTTTTACTCAGAAGATGGCAAGGTGAGCAGCTCAAGGGTCTCCAAACAGGGACCCCAGTGAGACTAGAGACGAGTGGGTTGGATGGGGACCCAGGAGCCAACCACGCCCAGATGCCGCAGACGCGGGGTGGGGACACAGCTGGGAGGGTGCCGCCGAGGCGCACGGACTGTTGAGGGGTTCCAGCCTATGACCTGCGTGACAGGAGTTGGGAACTAAGACCCCAGTGACCGTTGGTCACGGTCTGCTGCCTAAAGCTAGCCCCAAGCCCTCCTGTGCCCTTCCCCCGGGGCACGCTGAGCTCAGTGCTGCAGTGGCTGTGGGGCCAGCTCAGGCGCTGAGTGGAGCTCGCCTGCCCCCTGCCGGCACGTTGAGGAATCAGGCGCTTGGAGCCCTTCGCTTGCCGCCTCGCACCCGGTGCTTTGCGTGTGTGCCGCTTCCAGTTAGGAAATTCAGGACACACAGAGGTCGACCGTGTTTTATTTTAGTTATTGAATGAAGTCGTGGAAAGGGATCTTTATCGTGATCATTACATACAAGAAAGGCCACTTTTTTAAGGGTAGGAAAATTTATTGGGGAATAGGCATGGGGAGTAAGATCGTTCCTGAGCAACAGGAGGATCCCAAATGGGTGGCCCAGGCAGGGCACTTCTAACAACTTAAAAATAGAAAAGCCATAAACTCAGAACAAAACAAACAAAAAAACTCAGAACAAAGACCAGCCTTGTACTATTTTTAAGCTTTTGTATATGCTTTATGTGTATGGTTTTTAAAATATTGTAATTTTAAAAGATCTTTTTTGGTACTGGAGATTGAAACCCACGGCCAGTGCATGCTAGAGAAGGGCTCAACGATGGACCTACACCCCAAATCCTAGGATTGATTGATTGATTTTGGCGGTACCAGGGATTGAACTCAGGACCTTGCACTTGCCAGGCAAGCGCTTATGCTACTGAGCTATTGCCCCGGCCCCCCTAGGGATTATTTAAAACAATAGCAAAACATCCTATACCTGGAGACTGGTGTGGTGGCACACACCTGCAATCCTAGTGCCAGGGAGGCTGAGACAGGTGGATTGGCACAAGTTCAAGGCCAGCCTGCCCTACACTGCAAGACCCTGTCTCAAAAAAAAAAATCCTGTACCCTGTCCCTCTTACCCCCTCTCCTACTCCCAGGGCAAAACCACTTTTCAGTCTTTAAGGGGTTCCTTTGGGTAATGCATCCTCTAAGTGATATGCTTACTTATTGATCAATTTAATTGAAGATGCTTCCAAGAAGAGTTCTTTAAAGTGCACACATTTGATGTATGACAGTCTCATTACATGCTCATATTTTTTTCTCTTTCACAGACTGGCCCTGTCCACTTGCCAGTTTTTAGAAGTGCTGGGATTAGATGGTCCAGAGTCCTGTTCACATTGCTGCCTAGCCCTGCTTCTAACCATATCCACAGCCTGTGGCCACACTAGTGGGCCAGGGGGTTCCCTGTGTGCGCCACCTGCTCACTCCATCAGGAGGATTCTGGGACATAGCCACTCTGTCACCCATGGCTCACCCACTCTGAGTGAGAGGCCAGACTGGTCTCTCTTAACTAGCCCTTGGATTCCCACAACAGATGTGCCAACTTGCCTCGCTTCTTCCTGTCCACACCCCTCAATCATTTATGCTAACCCAGAGAGAGTTATCAAGCTCCCCTCAAGCCTGCAGTGGTTCCCAGCACCTCTAAAATAGAGATTTTAGCTGGGATCAGTAGAATGAACCTGGTTATCCAGCTAGTTAGGAAACTACAGCAGGAGGAGAGCTAGAGCCCAGGAATTCAAGGATAGCCTGGGCAACACAGCCACAGCCCATCTGGAAGGAAGGAAGGAAGGAAGGAAGGAAGGAAGGAAGGAAGGAAGGAAGGAAGGAAGAAGAGAAAGGGAAAGAAGGGGTGGGAGG